CTGCAGTCTCCCTCAAGCGAAGAGTACGCAATTGAGACCTACGTCATGCCACTGCTGAACGCCCAAACCGCTCCAGAAGTATACCTACTGAAAAGGGTGATTGAAGTTTGGAATTTGGTAAGTAAAACTGAGGCAATTAAAACGTAATTTTGACAATCTTTTCAAAAACACTAAATATCAATCTTTTTTTAAATCATTTGTACGTAGACTCCTTACTACACCGGTGGCACCTCTTTTAATGCCACTGTAGAGTGTCTTTCTTTGAGCGATATTGAGAAAACGCCTTCTTCCTCCTCTTCATTAGGTACTCCCGTAACCATCACCATGAGCTATAGCTACGGGCTATTTTCATCGGGCAGTGTTTATCATCTACACAAGTGGAATGTCAAAAAGTGAACATTTGGGTCATTTTAAATAACCTTTTTGTGCAAAAACACTATTTTTATTTTAAAATGATGTTAACCAAATTGGTTTTTTATTTGCATCAATGCACATTTTTTTATGTTTTTTATCTTGTTACCTAACGTAGCTGGTTGAAAGTTAATCTGTTGACATTTTAATAAAATTAAAATTAATAAAAAATGACATTTGAAAAATGATATATAAAGTAAAAGATTAAACTCCAATTTTTTATCACCATTTTTTACAACATTTTATATTTTAGTTAAAAATGAATTTGTTTATTTATTTTTCATTATTCATTATAGCATTGGCTGCTTGGAGCAATGCTGAAACTGCTGAACTTGATTCTACCCGAAAAGAATCACCTTCCTCTAATGTCAACGATGAAGTAGATAAAATGATTGAATTTCTCAAGAAGGAGAGAGAGCTACTGAAACAGGCACTAAAAGAATTTGGCAGCAAAGTTCATGATAAACTGTTTGCCATGTTCCCTGAGCTGCAAAAACAATTTGAAGAAATTGAACGTGAGGCTCACATAGTTCACGAATGTTACAGCCAAGAGATTGACCACCAGTCAAACAACTCGGTTAATATTTTTGAGCACAAAATTCACACAGTGGTGTCCAAGTACTTTGTAAGTAACCGAGATTCAAATTCTTTATTTGAAAATAATTTTATTGTTTTTGGTAATTAATTAGGAAACCCATGGCCGCATTCTTGAAGGGCTAAGCTTTGAGGAGATTAAAAAACGAGTGGAAACTTTCTTGAAAAGTCTTTCTCGTGTAGCTGAACTAGTTCTCCAGTGTGTGAGGGACAAAAAGAAGGGTTTGAAAGCTACCAAATACGGACTGACAATGTTCACTGCTTACGTAAAACCTCAAACTTTTAAAACTTTTTATAATAATTTAATTAACTAGATTTTTCAATTTTAGAGCCAAGAAGAAATCGAGGCAAAGTTTGTCAACAAGAAGCTCGCCGAAGAACTGAGTAGCAGCAATGGCGCCGTAAGGCTAGGCGATAGCAATCCGAACAGCATTTACTGCAATAAGAATAAGACCGCCCTTGACCCGGAAACACTTCCCAAGTCTTTCAGCTGNCGTAAGGCTAGGCGATAGCAATCCGAACAGCATTTACTGCAATAAGAATAAGACCGCCCTTGACCCGGAAACACTTCCCAAGTCTTTCAGCTGGCAGGACAAGGGCTACGTGTCGCCCGTGTACGCTCAGGGCTGCGGCGACTGTTTCATCTTCTCAACGACGAGGTATTGAAAACTATTTTTAGAAATTTTAAAACAATTTGGTAACATTTTTGTTACACCCCAGTGCCCTTGAATCACAGTACATGATTCGAGCTCAAACCAAACTTCCGGTCCAATTTTCCATTCAACGGACGCTGGACTGCGTTGAGCACGGCTGTCACGGCGGTCTGCCGGCGAAGGTGAACGACTTCTTCCGGAACAAGGGCGCCTCGCTGGCGGGCTACGACCGCTACAATGCCTCCTCCAACCAGACCTTTTGCCGGAAGTACCCCAGCGCCATCTACGTGGACGTCACCTGCGAGTTTCACCTGCCAACGGAGGAGGAGGTGCTGCGGCTGCTGGTGCGCTCCGGGCCAATGACGGTGCTCATAAATGCGTCGCCGGATATCTACCACGTCAAGGACAGTCCCTTCCACGGGACATGCAAACCAAAGCTCGATCATGCGGTGTTGCTGGGTAAGAAGTTCTTTTTTTGTAGTAGTAAACCAAGTTAAAAATTTTTTGATAATTTTTAGTTGGCTACACGCCCGAGTACTACATCATCAAGAACAGCTGGGGAGCTAATTGGGTTTGATAACTAAAATTTTTGTTTAAAATTTTTACTATTAACTCGAGTTTATTTTATATTTTTTTCTCTAAAGGGCAAACGAGGCTATTTGTACCTTCCTCGAGGTGGTAACACCTGTGGCGTGAGAACTTTCCTTTTTGGGGCGTACATCAGACCTTTTCCGGGCCGAGGCAAAGCTTGAAGAGACTGTAGTTGCAATTGAACTTTCTTGAGTTTTAATTGTTTTAAATAACGTGTGTGTTGCAAAATAAAAATTGGTGTTTAAGACAGCTTTGTGTGTGTTGATTTTGTTTTTTCAAAAAGATTGTTTGTGTTCCATTGTATAAAACGGCACTGATAGCAAAACTGCTTGTTGAAAATGTCATTAAAAAAATAATTTTAAAATTTTTTAAAAATAACTTTGATTTGGTTATCACTTTTCAGAGATAATTAGCAACAACCTCAATAACGACTTTCTCAATAAAATTTTTGCCAACTTTAACATTACAAAAAACCTTTCAAGTGAACTTTGTTAATTAAAATTTAATTTATTAAAAATTTTTGCGTAATTATATAAAAATCCAATATCACATGCCTAAAAAAACACAATTTTCTAAAACAATTTTAAATTATTTTTTTCATTGTTTGCAAACAATATGAAAAATTTTATTTTTGTACTGATGGCTATGATGTTTTTGACGGTCAACGCTAAACTAGACTACCTTTACGATAACCAACCAAA